CATGTCCGATGGGGGAGTGGTGAATGGGGAGGTGGAGGGGGTAGAGGATTCGACCTGGCAGGTCAGGGGGGTTAAAATCGGCTATAATTAGAAGCAAGGGATGGACGAACCTCAACGCTCTCTGCCTTGTCGCCTTTTACAAGTTGTTCGTACGCAGCCTCGGCGGCGAGCATACCTGATTTCATAGCCGTGTGCGATCCTTTGATCTTAGGTACGTTGACGAACCCAGCGCTGCATCCGATCAAAGCTCCGCCGGCAAAGTCAAGACGAGGGACGGATTGGTAGCCCCCTTCGTTGAGAGTGCGGCCGGCGTAGGCGATGCGTTCGCCTCCTGCGAGGAGAGAGGCAAAGTATGGGTGGTGTTTGAGTTTCTGGGGGGTTAAGAATTAAAAACGGGGAGCTGAAGGTTAATTATTACTCACCTGGAGCTCCTTGTATGGACTCAAATACGGATTAGCATAATCCAGTCCAACCACCAGTCCCAAGCTGACTAGTCCGTCGCCCATATGGTACGCAAATCCACCTCCGTATGTCTTGTAATCCAACGGGTAGCCCATGGTATGTATGACCTCGCCTGGCCTGTAATTCTTCGGGTCCACGCGCCAGACCTCCTTCACACCCATCCCATACGTCTGGATCTCCTTTCCCTCACGCAACCCAAATTTCTTCACCACCTTTTTCGTCAACGACCCATGGGCTCCCTCGGCTAACAACGTCACGCGCGCCCGGAACGCCATCCCCGGCTCAAACGACGCCTTCATGTGCAATCGCTTGTCCAGCCCTGCATCGTGCGTTGCGACACCGCGGGCAGCGCCATTGACGTCATACAGGAGTTGCGCGCCGGCAAAACCAGGGTAGATTTCCACACCGGCCTCTTCGGCAACGGACCCAAGCCAACGGGTAAGCTGGGAGAGCGACAGGATGTAGTTGCCCTTGTTGGACATTTGGGGTGGGTGCGGGATCGGGATGGCGTGTTTCGAAGTGAGGTATTTCATGTGCGAAGACGAGGCGAGCATCGTAAGTGGATGGTCGGGCATTTCCTTCCAGTTGGGCAGGAGCTCGTTTAGGGCGCGAGGTTCAAAGACCGCACCAGAGACGATATGTGAACCTGGTCAATTTAGAACTAGCCCGAGTGAGATGGATCAGAGGACGTACCGACTTCAGGTCCCTTTTCGAGCACGACGACTCGTACCTCTCTTCCCTTTTCCTTTTCCAACTGCTTCAGCCTGATCGCGGCACTCAAGCCGGCCGGCCCAGCCCCGACGATACAAACGTCTACATCGTCCTCGGCGCGCTCAACGGTCGAAGGGTCGAATCTTTCGCGTACAGGTCGCGTAATGTGTATTGGCCGTATGCATACTGGGTGTGGTCTGAGCACCCTCCTCGCCCGCCGAGTGAGCATTATGGTGGTTGTCGAGGGCCAAGAGCCAATCCCGACAAAGTCATTGACGGCTTTCGGATCTATTGCTGCGCCGACGCACGTGAATGACCAGAGGATGAGGTAATCAGACGCGCATAACCAAGATAACCACTCGTATCCCTAATAGACCGGGTCATATAGGGTAAAAAAACATGCTCGCTTACTCAAGTAAAGGTGCACAGCGCAAACCCTCTGGTACTTACTGATCCTCAGCGATTACGTCCCTGAAAACTCGGAATATATGCACTCGCCAAACACACCCATTACACTCGCCGACCAGGCAAGCCTGAAGGAGCACCCACGAACCCACCCCAGTGGGTTCACTGGTCTTGGACAGCTCTGATTGCTGGGCGAGCCGGCCCCCACTACCATTTGCCGGCTCGGGAACTGCAGGCCCGTACCCGTGACCCCCAACTACAAATGTGCATTCAACGCTGAGGAAGGTTTGACGGGCGCCAGATGCCCAGGCACCTGGTTGTCTGGCGCGTCCGGGGCTGAGTAGCCGTTCCGCGTACACGATTCCGTATTTCATTTCGGTAGCCCAGAGGCTATTCGTTGCCAAGTATTTAACCAACAGGTCAACAGAACAACCCCAGCACTCTCCAGTCGCCCCTATATTCAGATACTTAAAGCTCCTTGCTCCCATTTCTTCCAAGCACCAAAAGTAGGCGCTGCTCTTCGCGATAATTGATTGTTGCTTCTCACAATATAAACCACCTTCGTATAGTATATCCATGGCCTCAAAATCACTCGTTTTTGTGGCTATGGAGATCGGAATAGGTGCCGTTGGTATAGTTTCCGGACCTAAGGCCGAGCAGGAGCTGCGCACTCGACTCGGGTTACCCTCGCGCGACCAAAATGATCGCACCAAATACTGGACTTCTGTCGTAGAAGCTGGCGCTAAATACAACCAAGAGTTTGCTGTTTGGGACCACGGGGAAACCGACGCGATTGAGGGGCTGTTCAACCCGAAGCTGCAGGACGCATTCACAAACAGTTTGGAATCACCCGAGGGCGAGGCTCGCATGAAAGAGTTCGCCGACTACGCCGCCAAACCACAGAACGCGGAGACAATCCAGAAGGGGGTAGTCGGCATTGACAAGATATTTGAGAGGGACCCCGAATATCGCAAGCAGATGTACGAATGGCTCAATGAGGCTGAGAAGGTAGCAAAGAAGTTGCATCTACAAGAGTTCACAGGTCCTTTCTGATTTATTGAAAGTATGTGTCATGCTCGTGGTCTTTAGATTATGTGCTCAGTCCATATTTTATTCCAGGGGGGTAGTTATCGCCCTGTTTTTACATTTGGGCATCGATTAGTCCCTGATTCCCCTTCTACTTCTTTACATTATCACCATGTACCTGAAATTTCTGGCATTTAATTTGGTCATTTAGTACCGGGAAACATGGCGATCCTTCGTTTTTTTTCTTATATTGAGCCAAACGGACAGTCAGCCCATTAAACTGGACAAAACGTTGACTAGGTAGATTTACTCGGCACTTGAGAGGAAAGGCGCTATATACAGGGAGACATTATCCGTGTATCACAACTATAGTCTGTAGTGTACTGATTATTATCAAGGCCGATGTCGAGGCACCACCAGTTTCGCACGCGTGGTCACCCACAGTGATGGTCACAACTCTCGTGACTTACACCCTGGATGAAACGGCTCTGAGGAAAAACCGGACAACATGAGGCACGTATCCTTGCCGGACCATAAATGTACGTATTCCCTGATAGTTCCTCTAGTTGAAACCCTCAAGATTTGGAAATGGCAAATTGGCGCACGGAAATGAGCCGACCTGGAATCCGGGCAGCAGTATATGCGCGGTTGCGTAATAGGGGTTCCGGGCGTGGGTATATCGGTTGACGTAGAGCATAATGGGGTCATGTTCAACTGTATAGGGTCACCACCTTCCATGAGAAATGCAGAGATAGGAGTTTGGATGCTCAGAGCGCCGGGTCAACTTTCCAGGATATGGGCAAAAAGTCACGATTAGTGCTAGACTCAATAGTGGACATTATTTCTCATAGGTGTGAGGTCTTGAACATAGCGTCGAGTGTATCCATATACATCTATCCAGATGTAGATACGGGGGGCACGCCTTGAAATTTACGGTAAACCATGTGACCGCGTTTTTTCTACGTATTTATAGAGCGATACATGAACCCACCGGTCAAACCGTGCTATGAAAAACAACAGGGGTTGTGTTTACTTGATCTCGGCTCCAAAGGAATCATTGCGCATCCGCATGTTTTGTTGTTTTCGTATAACCTGCTGACCGGGCCTCGAACCCTGGGACAGAGAAAAGCGACGCATGCTCGTCAGGGCGTTGTTGCGATTTTCATTTTATCCCGGCAAGTACTTTTGCAAACCGCTGTAAGGTACCCGAATGGAACCCTTGGAAGATCGCGTGTAAGTAACCGGGTTTGACTGTGAATGTCAAAGGTAGATCTGGTTGAACCAGGTTGCGTGGCAATGAATCACGGTCCGAAGCACAGCAGCATTGTATGCGTGGTGTACGACCTTGAGAGGCACATGTACGTTTAGTCAGACCTTCGCAGTGCTTATTCTCCGGCTAAGTAAGTATGTGGTTGACCTACTCCGCTGAATCAAACCTTGTCACTAGAAGAACCAGAGTGACAGTTAACTCGAGGCTCGTACAGGCTCGAATATGACTATACTAGGCAAGGCGGTCTACGCTCTCAACCCCTTATGGATGAGTGTCAGTTCTCAGGTCTCATATACACACCTTCTGAGCATATGATCGCAAACCACGTGTAGTTCCTTGTAATAAAACTCATGCCTCGTTGCTTCCGATTCGGCCACTCGTGACTTCATAACCCTGAAGTATGCCGAGAGTCTGGACGTCCGGAGTCTCGATCGTGAGGATTTTAGATCTTATTATGCGTATTTTATGTAGTAGTAGAAGTGTATGAGTTCGGGCGCCCGATGCAGAGCCATGGGACGACGAATGATGCAAATTTCACCACATTAACCACAGGAGATCCACACCGAAAATGCGTCGAAAGTAGTGAACGGAGCAGCAAGTCAGTTCGAGAGCCCTTTGTATGGGTGGATTAGGCCCATATATAATAATACTAGTTATTAGGTTAGATCTACACAATCTATTTTTCAATATACCATTCAAGCAACACCCCCGGAGGTTTGGGTAGCTGAAATCGACCGAAAGGAGCCGTTTGGTCACGTGATTTCCCAGGCATACTAGCTGGTCACGTGATTCACTCAATCCACCAAGCACATATCGGTTCCGGCGGACCACACAGGCACTCTTAACCAGTGAGGACATGCCATATGGCACTAGTAGTCATTTATAAACGTCGAGTCCGTTTGGGCCGTGATTTACCTTGGGCTTGGCTCCAATACGATATCTCCGCCTGTGTATTCCTCCACACCCACCTCCAGCAACCTTCGGAGTTCAGGCCCCATTTAAAGACAGCCTATATGCGAGTAGGATACATCTCCAACAAGCGGCGGGAAACGTGATTACGCGCCTATTCCATGTGGCCACGTGTTTCTTTCGGCTATCAGCACCGCATCATTCCCTGTTATCATAAGCCGCGGTAGCTCAGTTGGGAGAGCGTTAGACTGAAGCCGGTTTCTACATACCCGCACATCTACAGGTCACCCGTTCAAGCCGGGTTCGTGGCAGTCTTTTTGCGCCTTTTTTCGCGTCGTGGTTCGGTCGGGGGGACGCTGGGGGGCGGGGGAGGGGGGGGAGCGCGCATATACCCAGTATTACGGCTGCCCCCCCTCCCCAGGTGCCGGGACTGGACTTGAAGCTTCCATTTAGACTGCAGGATGGTCGGTACGATGTTATTTATACCGGCCAGCCTGTGGTTGCGCTGGTGAGGGGGGGGGGGCGACGTATCGTTGTCAGCATCAACCACCAACGAAACTCGCGCAGTTTTCATGCTGATATATTGAAAATTTGCACCGAAGCAAAGCCAGAACCAGCGCATACACGGGGCATTTTTGTATATTTTTATCATTGGTGTTAGGCGGAAAATGAGGGTTTCTGGGCCTTTGCGACACGCTCCACAAGATTTAGCGCCACCTACCACTAATATCACTCCTTTGGCTAAGCAACCGAATAATATGCCATAATCGTGGTTCTGGCATGATTTTTCTAGCATACGACCAAAGGGGGACGGTACAACCGACAAATCAAGGCGGCACGTGACCTCCTCTTTTTAGCCAAAACGACTGACACTCTCGTTACTACAGCCGTTATACGCAAGGAAGTACTCTGGATAACAAATTTTAGTAGTGGTTATTAACCTCTATTGTGAAAAAAGGTGGGTTTGAGAAGTACAGTGTTGTATGTGTCGTAACACCTGATTTTCTTTGTCTCCCTTCACGCAAGGCACAGATAGACCAAGTCAAAGTGCATACGGTGATCTAGACAAGGCAAGAGAATGATTGGCTCAAATATGTCGAAATTGGGTCAGATTCACTGGTTTAAATCCTTCAAAAACTGAAGACTCAATAGTGTTACATCACTGGGGAAACCCCTCGGCTAGACCAGAGCTAGACCTGCGCCAACCTGGACCTCCTACGTGATCTGATTCATTGCATATATAGATCTCGGCCGCAAACGGTATGGCCCACTCTCTCCCACGCTTACAGACCTTCAACTAGTTTGTTCTAATATTATACTCTTTGGTCTCCTATGGCACTCCTGGGTGGGACTGTAGGAGCGTGGTACATCATCAGGTATGTCGGACATGCCGAGGTTGACCCGGCCGGGCTGACTCGCCAATCCAATCTCGCTAGCATTCATCACTCGTAGGCCACTTGGCACTATTTTAGTCCCAACACGCTGAACCCGGTGGGTATACAAATATATTTTCACTTTTGATCTCACTGGTATATGTCCCATTTTTCTTTTCCATCTTCTCCTGGTAGGTGGCTGTCTCGTATAGGGCTCATCCCGTGAAGGGATTAGCCTGGTCATTTGGTAGGTAACACCTTCTCCCACGCGATCAACAACTTAGCCAGACACCGGCCTTGGCAAGCGATTGTGCCTGCATGCGCCACAGCCTACAGAGGCGCAGGGGGGATACTAAACCGCCAGGAGCACCGGCGTGATTGTGTCACGCTCTCCTTCGTCGACCGCCGCACCTACACGAGATCAACCGCCGCGCACTCTGTCCGATGCACGCCCCTCCTCGTTCACGTTTCTCTTTGTCCCACTCGCACATCGCCTTTGTCCTGCTGCACGCACGATACAGCTGATCATGCCCGCGGGTCCCGAAAAGACCTGCACTTATCCCTCACCTTCAGCACGCATAGGGTGTATTTCACAGCCCCGTGTATACATTTACTTTCGTCCTGGTCTGCGCAGGTCAGATATATACCAGTTGCGACGCGACTACTAGAAAACTCAGATATGCCTGCCTGCAAGGCTAGCAGCCCAACCACTTATCCTTGAGTCGCCTAGCGGCACCTCTTAGATATCCCCAGGCCACTGCCCACTGCGTCCGGTCTTCTAGTACCGCCACGCCGCGGATAGCGTAACACCAACCGAAGGCTGAGTGCTGTATCCAAAAGGAAGGGGAAAACTCGGCTGAGCAAGGAAAACGAGCTGAGTCAGGAAGATTTTGCTAAGGCTGTGGTTATGGAATTGTTGTAGCAGGGCTTGGAAGCGTTTGCTTCGAGCCTGGATTGTATATATGCGTTATTATAGACTAATTTATGCCATTTTATGTAATGCATTGAAATATATATTTGAGTTCAGGGTTATTTATTGTCATTTTGGGGCCATGCCCTATGGTGCGACATAACAAGACGAGAGAGCAGACAACAGGGGAGAACAAAGACACAGCATACATGGTAGCAGGGACTTAGCACAAAACATGGACTGACTTGAAATATATTAATAATATAATCTGTAGGTAGTCACCCTATGATGTCAGACGTGGTCCAGCTCCGACCATCACAGTCCAGCACCGAATGGCACTCCTAGTCGAGCCTAGACGACCCACGCAGCACATCAAGTCGATCCTGGCCGCATTGCCCAGCGCCGCGTATCTGAGCTGCGCCGACCAACACCCCTGCCTTGGAAACCTGTGTAGGTGCATTTCAATGGTATTCCAGCCCCGCCTAGGAGCTGGCTCACGTGGGTGGCGCTTCGCCTGGCTGGGAATTCTGGCCCAGCCAAGGGGTTTCCCCAGTGCATGTCCCGTCAGCGAGCATCTACGTCAGCAGGTAACGTCGTCACTCGGTTTTATGCCGTCGTATCCACTTTATTTTTCCTCCGGCAAAGACTAACTATTCAGCACACTCGTAGCCTAATCGACCGAGACTGCTCCAGCCGGAATGTCTGAAGTAAAGACGACACGATTACCTTTGGTGTCACATGTGTCCTAGGTTTTCCCAGCCCCCCCTCCATTTGGCGCTTGCGGGACTATAGGGATAGCAAATAAGGATGTTTTATGTCGCAGCGGGGGTACTGTTAGGAGCCTGTATCTTACTTATATACTTACCGATACCCCGTTAGGGGGTGATACTAGCCACGGAAGTAAATTTCACGGACCACTGGCCCATAAACCCTGTAGCTCACTAAATAACTAAATGCGCAAAAATGCGCCGTGTATGCACCAGGACTGGCCCTGATACAAGGGCATGTACATCACTGTAGACGTGAGTGCCAATGCCATACGCCGATCCCGATGCTTGCTGATCAGACGGAAGCCTGGTGCTGGACCACCCACGTTTTTGAATGCGTTCAGTTTGCGCCATCCCGACCATTAACGATCGGTCAAGACCCCCAGACAAAGCGTTCCTGTGGTGCAGACCACCTCATTCATTTCGAACTCGAGGGGGGCGAGCGGCGTACAGTGGTGCGAGGACACCTCGCCTGGCAAGCATGTGATTTCAACGATCCACACACTCATCTCGACCTTACTTGCCATATCCAACACAACCCACCAATTTGCCCTCGAACCTATCTTATCATACGCATACAGCACAACAGACTTGCCCCTTTTCGACAATCCCCCTTGCACGAGATCACCGGTTGACCTCAGATCGTCAGGCTGCGAACCAGGAACTGGGAGCGCCCGCGCGGGGGAACCCCTAACCCCGCATTCTGGACACGTGGGGAGGGATCGCAGCCCGGTGGGCTAGACAACCGAGCGCGTTCGACGGCGTAGGCGAGTGGTGGTCGAGGCTTTGGAGTGTGGTGTGGTGTGGTGTGGTGGTGCGAGCTCATGGCTTTAGAGTAGGCAAGGTGCGTGTGTATGGCTTGGTCATGCCGTATGGCTCGCTTGGCTGTGCGAGGATGTCCCCTATGCCCTCGGTACGACTAGGTAGAGCGTGCAGTATAAACTTGCCGACGGTTACGACCAAGCACGCAAACAGGGTCAACACGCATTTATCGTATTAATTCGGAACTAGAGGAATTACATTAGTCGGGCCGGGCACCGAAGGGGACAAGGAGCCGAGGGTTGACGGGAGACAACGTCATAGATACCGGGCGTGGACTACTGCGTGGTTATCGGGTTGTAGGGGATTGTGTTCGGGCATAGCTCGTAACAGGAGTTGAATGGCAACGAGTTGCTTTTGGGCCAGAGCTCGTGAATGCGACTGCGAGGCTGTCGCGGTGTTGCTATTGTCATTCCTCGTGCAAGACAAAACCAGACGTACAGTATCAGCGTATGAATAGGGACAACGTGCTCTGAGCACGGCGATGGCGCATCCAAGTTTAACCGCACTGTGGTCGTCGTAGGAACATCCGTTTTTGCCCGTTGCGCCACTCGCAAATTTCGGCCCCTTCTTCAGTTTCATAGGATCGTTTCCGGGATGTTTCGGGTATTGTTTGTCCTGGCCGGTACGGGATGGAGGCCGGGTTTGGTGGATTTAATTTCGGATCTGGAAAAAGGGTGCCGGTAAACAATTCCAAGCAAATGATGACTGTTTGGGAGTTGCATAATCGTATCCGGGGTTCAACGTCGGCCCATCGAGCGTACCCTCTGACCCGGCCACTGCGGGGAATCTGGAATAGAGTATACACTCCAGGAACAGTCTCTCCGGGAACTCTATCGAAGAGGGTTCAAGAGATGGGGGAATAGGTCAGAGGGTGAACTGATAGGACGCATTCCGGGGCATAAGAGATAGGGAGGGTAGATCCAACGTCGTCGAGGCTGTAGATCACTTGTCGGACAGTACAAAACGTGGCGGTCTCCGCATTTATCGACTAGAGACAGGAGCACGACCCAGGGCATGTCCAGGACGGGTCGATCGCATCCTGGTGGGCTCAAAGGCAATCAAAATGTCCAGTGTTGGCCTGGCCAGCGCGTTTCGAGGTCTGAACGATGTCATAGCGAGTGGTTAATGAGGCGCGTGCCGCCTTATCGCGCGCACCAATTGGCTAGACGTCTGGTATGACGCAGTGGACAACTAGAACCGAAGCGTGCAGAACTGAGCAGGCGAGGTGATAGTTCGGATCGAGTCCCGGGGTTCATTTCGACCATTTCCGGCCCACTTTTTCTGGGTGATTTTTCGTGTTGGAGACGGGGCGGATCGACGCGAGTTGGCTAGTCGAGTGATGCATTGTACGTCGATGTGGGGCGTCGTGTGGGGTCGATTGGGCCCCAGAATCGAGCGTGGGGCGTCGATGCTGTCAATGAGATCGCGACCAATTTGGA